AAAAAAAGTAAAAATAGGTAAGACTAAAATCTCTTCTGCTCACCTTCCCCCAGTTCTTTTCTGTCTTCTGCTGTTAATAGTTTTGTCTCTATTTTTTTAATTCTTTTCTATGTGTTTGTATTACTTATATATGTGCTTATAGAAACTATACAGTGTTAGGCATACACCTTTTTTTTCTTATCATTCATCACTTTTCATTGAGTCCCATGCAGTACACAGAGATCTGCCTTCTTTTTAATTACTGGTATACTTTATAGCCATTTCCCATTTCAGTGGGCTTTAGATTTTTATTTTTAATCACAAACAAATTTGGGTTGCTTTTATTTGTTTATTTTTCAATATAAATTTATTTATTTTTGGCTACGTTGGGTCTTCACTGCTGTGCGTGGGCTTTCTCTAGTTGCGGTGAGCGGGGGCTGCTCTTCGTTGCTGTGCGCGGGCTTCTCATTGCGGTGGCTTCTCTTTTGCCAAGCCCAGGCTCTAGGCGCACGGGCTTCAGTAGTTGTGGCACACGGGCCTCATTGCTCCGCTGCATGTGGGATCTTCCCGGACCAGGGCTCGAACTCATATCCCCTGCATTGGCAGGCAGATTCTTAACCACTGTGCCACCAGGGAAGCCCTGGCTTGCTTTTAGTTTGTTACAGTAAAGCACTTTGTTCTTAGAAGCTTCTAGAAGTTTAGTGTTTGGTACAGAAGTAGGTGAAATACTAAATTATAAGCTGGCTTCTTTGCTTTTTATCGTTACGTACAAAGTACAACTGTTAAGCAGTGGAAGGAAACCTTTTTTTAGAAAGCTTTTCTATTTATCTCCTTTTCAAATGATGTATAACATATATGACGTTTTTAAGCTCTACTATAAATGAACAGTGATTTAGCAAATCTTTTCTTCCTTGTTGTAGAATATGCATAACACAAATTTACATTTAACCATTTTTTAAAATTAATAAATTTTATTTCATAAGCAGTTTTAGGTTCACAGCAGAATTGAGGCAGAAGTACAGAGCCAGAAGCCTATATACTCCTTGTCTCCCCACGTGCCCCCCCTCCAACCTCCATGAACCTGTGTTGACACATCATTATCACCCAAAGTCCGCACGTTACATTAGCTTCACTCTTAATGTTGTATGTTCTGTGGGTTTAGACAAATGTATGATAGCACGTATCCACCATTGTAGTAGTCTGTAGAACAGTTTCACTACCCTAAAAATCCTCTGGGCTTTGCCTGTTCATCCCTGCCTCAGACTTAACCCCTAACAACCACTAATCTTTTTTTTCTTTCTTAATATTATATAATGAAAACAGGTGTGTTTATAACTTCAGCATACTTCATAAAATCTTTATTCACTGAAAATAGACAAATGTTTACAAAGAACATTTAACTTAAATTTCATAGTAGCTTATAAAATGGCACTTGAAAGAGTGACCTGTATAAGGAAATAAGAGTCTTGTCAAGAGACAGTAAACTATAAATATACCACAATGTTAAAAACCTCAGTGTTCTATAAGAAAATCAATAAATATAACTTAATCTTTCTGGGGGGAAAGGTATTTAGCATTACAAATTTAAAGTACAGATTTTATATATGAATTCAATACGGAATACATTTAAACCTTACAATGCTACATAATCATCGTCTATCTTGTGGAAAACAATAAAAATATGCACTATTATGTATAAAATAGATAACTAATGAAAACAGATTGTATAGCACAGGGGACTCCACTCAATGCTCTGTGGTGACCCAAATGGGAAGGAAATCCAAAAAAAGAGGGGATACATGTGTCCGTATAGCTGATTCACCCTGCTGCACAGAAGAAACCAACACAATGTTGTAAAGCAACTACACCCCAATTTAAAAAAAAAAAAGTAAATTGAAAGAAAAAAGAAAGAAAGAATAAAATTCTTAACCACACACAAAACAATTATATACTTTTTGAATATGTGTACATCAAACCAAAAGGTTAATTTTACTTTTTCCTTTATTGACAACTTTGGGTGCATTTTTAGGTTTTGGTTCCCAGAGGGCATTTATTCCAATGCCGTCTTGAAGCCGCGCCTCTGTCCAGGTCGCCAGCCTTTTTCTTGTCTGTTATTTCCTTGACTCTGTTCATGTATACTCTGATTCTTTCCAGTTCCTGCTTTACTGGATGTTCCTTAGGATTGACTCCCTGAGTTGCCGCATAAACCCAAAACATTGAATTTAATGTGTAAGCAGAAACTAAATCCACTTTTGCTTGTTTAAGTGGGTCCAACTTCTACAACAACTCATTTCTAGAAACACACATCATACTCTTCAGCATCTCATCCACAGCCCCAATGGAATTCTCAAATGTTGATAAATATTCATGAATTTCTCCTGGGTAGTCTTCATTAATTTCTTCATCTGCCATTATTATCAACTCTTAGGCCTTCCACTCCTGCCTCCCAGAAAGCAGTTGGCGGCGGTGACGTCAGTGGCACACAGGCTCTGCCCACAGCGAGCAGCGCTCTCCGATGACCTCACTAATCTTTTTAATGTCTCTATAGTTTTGCTTTTTCTAGAATGAATTATAGTAGGAAACATGCAGCACTGTAGCCTTTTTAGACTGGCTTCTTTCGCTTAGTAATATACGTTTAAGGTTCCTCTATGTCTTTTCATGGCTTGAGAGATCATTTCTTTTTAGTGCTGAGTAATATTCCATTGTTTGGTTGTACCAGTCTATGCACTCACTCACCTACTGAAGGACATCTTGGTTGCCTTCGAGTTTTGGCAGTTATGAAAAACCTGCCATAAACATCTGTGTGCAGGTTTTTGTGTGAACATAAGTTTTCAGTTCGTTTGAGTAAATACCAAGGAGCATGATTGGTCTCATAGAATGAGTTAGGAAGTATTCCTTCTGTTTCTGTCTTTTGGAAGAGATGATAGAGAATTGGTATAATTTTTTCTTTAAATGTTTGGTAGAATTCATCAGTAAACCCATTTGGACGTGATGCTTTCTGTTTTAGGTTATTAATAATTGATTCAATTTCTTTAATAGATGTAGACCTATTCAAACTGTCTATTCTTATGTGAGTTGTGACAGATTGTATCTGTCAAGGAGTTGGTCCATTTCATCTAGGTTATCGAATCTGTGGCTATAGAGTTGTTCATAATATTCTTTTATTATCCTTTTATTGTATATGGGATCTGTAGTGCTTCCCCTCTTTCATTTCTGATATTAGCAGTTTAGGTCTTCTTTCTTCCTTAGTCTGGAAAAAGTCTTATGAGTTTTATTGTTTTTTTTTTTTTTTTTTAAGAATCAGCTTTTGGTTTTGTTGACTTCCTCTACTGATTTCTTGTTTTAAAATTCTTTTATGCTCTAATTTTTATTATTTCAATTTTCTGCATAGTTTGGAATTAATTTGCTCTTCTTTATCTAGTTTTCTAAGGTGAAAGCTTAGATTATTGATTTTAGATGTCTTCTGATATATGCTTTCAATTCTATAAATTTTAATCTAAGCACTGTTTTTGCTGCATCCCCCAAAGTTTAGTAAGTTGTATTTTCATTTTATTCAGACATTTTTAAAGTTTCTCTTGAGATTTTTTTGTGTTTGATCCATGTGTTATTTAGAAATGTAATGTGTAATTTTCAAGTACTTTGGGTTTTTCCAGCTATCTTTCTGTTACTGATTTCTAGTTTAATTGCATTGTGGTCTAAGGGCAGACATTGTATGATTTCTGTTCTTAATTTGTTAAGGTGTATTTCATAGAATGTCTTGGTGCGTGTTCCATGTGTGTTTGAGAAGAATGTGTGATTTGCTACTGCTGGATGAATTAGTCCATACATGTCAATTATATATGGTTGATTGATGGTGCTGTTGAGTTCAGTTATGTCCTTATTGATTTTCTGCTTGCTGGATTTGTCTATTTCTGATAGAGGAGTGTTAAAGTCCCCAGTTATAATAGTAAATTCATCTATTTCTCCTTGCAGTTTTATCCTTTTTTGACTTGTATTTTGATGCTGCTGTTAACTGCATAACATTAAGGATTGTTATGTCTTCTTGGAGTATTGACCCCCTTTTCATTTTGTAATAACTCTTCTTATCACTGACAACTTTCTTTGCTCTGAAGTCTTCTCTGTCTAAAATTAATATAGCCGCTCTCAGTTTGTTTTAATTAGTGTTAGTATGGTCTAGCTCTATCCCTTTACTGTTAATCTATATGTGTCTCTGAATTTCAAGTGAGTGTCTTGTAGACAATATATGATATGCCCGGGTGTAGGTTTTTGTTTTTGTTGTTTTGCATTTATCCTGCTTGGTGTTCCCTGAGATTCCTGGATCTGTGGTTTGGTGTCCGACATTAATTTGGGGGAAATTCCCAGTCATTATTGCTTCAAATACTGTTTCTCTTCCTTTTCTCTTTTCCTCCCGGTGTTCCCATTGCATGTACACACCTTTTGTAGTTGGCCACAGCTCTTGGATATTTTGCACACTGCCCCCCCCCCCCGTTTTATTCCTCTTTGCTTTTCCATTTTGGAAGTTTCTAGTGTCATATCTTCAGGCGCAGAGTTTCTTTCCTCAGCTATGTCCAGTCTACTAATGGGCCTATCAGAGGCATTCTTCATTTCTGTTACAGTATTTTTGGTCTGTAGCATTTCTTTTTGATTCTTTCTTAGAATTTTTATCTATTTGCATTATTTTATCCGTTATTGCATGTTGTCTGCCTTTTCCATTAAAGCTGTTAGCTTTCCTGGTTTGATAATTCCAGCATCTCTGGCATACATGACTGTTTCTGATGCTTGTTCAATCTCTTCAAACTGTTTTTTGTCTTTTTAGTATGCTTCGTAATCTTTTTTGAAAGGCAGACATGATGCACTGGTAAAAGGAACTGTGAAGAATAGACCTTTGGAAATGTAGTGGTAAATTGTCTGGGGAGGGGAAATGTTCTGTAGTGCTGTGATTCAGTCTCAGTCTTTTGGTGAGCCTGTGCCCCTGAACTGTGAACTTCACCAGTGCTTCTCTGCTTTTTTCCTTTTCTTAGGTGGTACAGGATGGCTAGAGTGGCCTGGAGTTGTGTACTTCCCTTTCCTCATGCGGAAGGTTAGAGGGGGCTGGAGTTGGATATTTCCCTTCCTCCAGGTAGGTTAGGTTCTGGTAAAACCTCAGTGGGTTAGGCTCTGGTAAAATAGTTTTTTTTTTTAAGGTGAGCTTTGTTAAGAACGGAATGTCCTGATATATTTCAAAAAAGAAAAGAAAAGCAAAGAAAATGTTCTTTTCCCCCTCCCAGAAACATGAGGGGAGGGGAAAAGTCTATTCACTCACCTACTGAAGGACATGTTGGTTGCTTCCAAGTATTGGCAAGTTTGGATAAAGCTGCCATAAACATCTGTGTGCAGGTTTTTGTGTGATCATAAGTTTTCAACTTCCTTGGGTAGATACCAAGGAGCCGATTTCTGGATTGTATGGTAAGAATATGTTTAGTTTTGTAAGAAACTGCTAAACTGTCTTCCAAATGCCTGTACCATTTTGCACTTTCATCAGCAGTGATTGAAAGTTCCTTTCACTCTACAGATCCTCACCAGCATTTGGTGTCAGTGTTTTGGACTTTGGCCATTCTAATTGGTGTGTAGTTGTGCCCAGTTGTTTTAATTTGCATGTTTTTGGTGCCATAATGATGTGGATCACATCTTTGTTAATGACTATATTTCAATGGATAGATAAAAGAACCTTGGTGCAGATAAAATCATTGTTATTCAGGTTCCATGTGTTTGTGGATGACCTGGATTGTTTATCCTGTGGTGGCCCCCACAGTGTCCTGTGACCTCTATATTTAGACATTTCTCTTTTTTTTTCTGTTATAAACTCTTTGGACATTGTTATATATAAGACTTTTTTACTCAGGATAAATATCTTAGTATGAACTCATTAAAGCAGAGTAATTGGGTCAAGGAATGTATAGATTTTTAACACCCTTTGATATCTATGGCCAGAAAAATTACCCCAGTTTATGCTTTTATCAGCAGTTCCAGCCAGTTTTATATTAATGTATATTTAAAATCTTTTTTATTAGGGGAAAATTTTAACACAAATATATAGAATAGTGTAATGAACCCTCAGGTACTCAGCTCCAACAACCATAAACCCAAGGCCAGTCCTGCCCTACTTACTCCTTCAACCCCCACTTCTCTCCTGGATTGTTACTATTTTAAAACTCTATTGAATTGTAATAGAAATATAGAAGAGTACACATCATAAATGGAATTTTCACAGTCTGAAACCCACCTGGGTAATTGGGTCCCGGGTATCTCCTTTGTCCCCTTTCAGTCATACCCTCCTCTCTGCCGAGGGCAGCCAGTATCCTGATACTTAACTGCATTAAGTTTTGTTCCTTAAATAAATAGAATCTTATGGTATGTTCACTTGTGTCTGAGTTTTTCTCTTGACATTGTGTGTGAGATTGTTGGGGATATACCTAGAAGTGAAATTGCTAGGTCGTAGAGGTGTGCATATATTCCATTTTGGAAAACTGTGGCTGCATCTACTAAAGTGGCTGTCCCAGATTACACTTTCCCCAGCAGTGTGTGACGTTCCGCTTACTCCATACTATCATTAATAGCTCATATCTTTCTTTCATGCTTTTCATTTTAGCTACACCCCTAGCTGTGTAGTGATACCTTACAGTAGTTTTAATTTGCACTAGTGAAGTCAAGCACCTTTTCATGCTTTTTTTGGTTGTTTAGTTATCCTTTTTCATTTTTATCTTTTTAAAATTTTATTGAACTATAGTTGATTTACAGTGCTGTGTTAATTTCTGCTGCACAACAAAGTGACTCAGTTATACATACATATATACCCATACACACACACATTCTTTTTCTTTTGTTTTCATTCATTCATTCATCATTCATTTATTTATTTTTGGCCATGCCACGCGGCATGTGGGATCTCACTTAGTTCCCCTACCGGGGATTGAACCTGTGCCCCCTGCAGTGGGAGCACGGAGTCTTAACCACTGGACCGCCAGAGAAATCCCAATATATACATTCTTTTTAATATTCTTTTCCATTATGGTTTATCACAGGTTATTGAATATAGTTCCCTGTGCTATACGGTAGGACCTTGTTGTTTATCCATCTTATATACAATATTTTGCATCTGCTAATCCCAAACTCTCAATCCTTCCCTTCCCCAACCCCCTAGTTATTCGTTTTTAACGAAGAGTAATATTTGTCTCCTTTTCTTTTGTCTGTTGCATTATCTGTTCTATCGTATTAACTCTCTGTTGCTTCATAGCAATTATCCCCAAACTCAGTGGTTTATAACACCAGTAAACATTTAATATCTCATAGTTTTTGTGGGTTAGGAACTTGGGAGCGACTTGGCTGGGCCATTTGGCTTGGATGTTATCAGCCTCTGAAGGCTTGACTGGAGTTGGAGGAACCTTCCCAAGGTGGCTCATTCACATGCCTGGCAAGTTAGTCCTGGCTGTCGGTGGGAGGCCACAGTTCCTTTTCATGTAGGCCTTTGACAGGATTGCCGAAGTGTCCTGTCCCCAGGACATGGTGACTGACTTTCCCCTGAGAGAGTGATTTGAGAGAAATAGCACCAAGTGGAAGCTATCATTTTTATGAGACAACCTCAAAAGTCTCAGTGCATTTAACAGCGGCCATGGCTCACGGGCCCAGCCGCTCCACGGCATGTGGGATCTTCCCGGACCGGGGCACGAACCCGTGTCCCCTGCATTGGCAGGCAGACTCTCAACCACTGCGTCACCAGGGAAGCCCGTGGACATATTTTCAAACACAACAATTGGTAGGGTTTCTTTTATTCTGGATATGAATCTTTCAGGAGATACAAACATGGTGAATATCTTTGCCTACTCTGTGGGTTGTCATTGTGTCTCTGGAGGAAGAGGAGTTAATGTAATTCAGTTGATTAATTTTTCCTTTATGGCTAGCCCCTTACATATTACTTTGAAGAAAATCTCAAAATAATTATCTTGTTTCTTCTGTAAATATGTCAGTATAGATCTTTCAAAAATAAACTTTTTTTTGTTTTAACCATACATAACCACAGAACTATAACATCTAAATAAAACTCCCACAAAGCAGTTGCTTGATACTATCTAGTACCTAGTCGGAGTTGAAATTTCCAATTGTCTCAAACGTGATAATTTTTATATATACAGTTTTCTAATTTTGGCAAATCAGGATCCGAATAAGGTCTACCAGTTAAAACAATTCCCCCTACCTCACTTGCCATCTGTGGAAGACCTCGATTTTTTTTGTCTTGTAGTATCCCCACAGTGTCCTCTGCCTTGTAAGCAGGTGGTTGTAAGTTTCTCTGTTTGGGCGTAACCTTTCCTGCAGTCTCGCTCATGTGTCTTCTTTGGTTGTGATCTGTCTCTGGAGGTTGAATGTGGACCCAAATTGAAATTTTTAAAGGGCTTCCAACCTAAATCACATTGAAATCCATTCAGATTATAGTTCTAGACTTAAAATGTAATAATGTTTGTTTTGAAATGTACTCTGTGTGTTTGTGAGGCCATCTGAGAGTGCATTTTTTGTTTCTTTAGAAGACCCCACACTGACTGTAAGCCTTGCCCTCTTGAAGATACCACACCCTCTCTAGTTTAAATGTTGCAGGGCATAACATAAGGTGGTGTGATACTTTTTGCAAAGCCCCACCTCCCAGGTTTTTTGTTTTGTTTTTTCACTTGACATATTGTTGGTACAACAATATTATGTTAATTTCAGGTGTACAGCATAGTGATTGGATATTTAAATACATTACAAGATGATCACTACCTAAATCTTATTAATTAGACTTTCCATGTTAACCGTCTACTTTTTTTTCCCCTCCTTATACTGTCCACTAGCTTTCCTTCTCTCATGGCTGATTTTTTGAGTTGTGATGACTAAGTTTTAAGGGTTGATGACTCAAAATCTTTTTAGGCCACCTTAAATTTCCAGTCTTCCCCAGTTTCTGACTTTCCCTTCTAGCAGAAAATTTAGCACCGAAAAATTACAAAAATTAATGACGTAATTAGGATGAATGTTAGAGAAGTAGACAAAGTATTTCTTAGAATTCATGTATGTGTAAAGTTTCAACTTAGTTGTTTTCTTAACAGTTCTGAAACTGATTACTGTGATTGGAACGAGCTGGGTAGGTAGAAGGAGATTGTCACTTTGTCTGTATTGTTACAATAGTTTAGAAGAATGTATTTGTGTATTATTTGTATAAATTCAAATGATTTATTGTAAGAATGCAAACTATGAAAAACAAAGAAGGCCTTTCTCTGACTCCATGTCATGGGTTTCCTTAATGAAAGGGTGACTGGGTGCAGTGACCCTGCCGCGGTACCAGCTAGAAGTCAGGACACCTGGCTTTGGTATGCTCTGCAGAGCAGGTCTCAGTATACATTTGTTGAATTTTAAAAAAAAAAGTTGTTTTAATACACATAGTATTTCATTTATTTTTTAAAATTTATTTTATTTATTATCATTTATTTTTGGCTGTGTTGGGCCTTCGTTGCTGCGCGTAGGGGCTACTCTTTGTTGTGGTGTGCAGGCTTCTCTTGTTGTGGAGCACGGGCTTCTCTTGTCGTGGAGCACGGGCTCTAGGCGCACGGGCTTCAGTAGTTGTGGCTCACGGGCTCTAGAGCGCAGGCTCAGTAGTTGTGGCGCACGGGCTTCGTTGCTCCACGGCATGTGGGATCATCCCGGACCAGGGCTCAAACCCATGTGCCCTGTATTGGCAGGCGGATTCCTAACCATTGCGCCTCCAGGGAAGCCCAAATTGTACTTTAAAAGTATGGTTCAACTTCAAGTAAGAGCTAAATTTTCAGTGTTTTGTTTTTAAATGAGTGTACATAAAGGATACCAATTGTTGACCATAATTCTTTCAGCAAATATCTGGGTGCCCGCCCAGTGCCAGGCCTGGTGCTTTCAATGCTTTGGTCACATGTGGTTTAAAAAGATGGCATGCTGATGCCCTCAGTGAATCAGGACAGTGTCTCAATAGAGATACAGTGCAAGCTACATATGTAATCATAAATTTTCTAGTGGCCTTATGAAAAGGAAACAGGTAAAATTAATTTTAATGTATTTTATTTAACCCAGTAATACAAAATATTGTCA